AAAACACGACTAAAGTACAATTTATAGGTGGGCACTGCCGCACACGAAATTGGTCATTCCCTGGGGATGTTCCACACTCACTCAAGACATGACAGAGACGAATTTATCACTCTCAACACGCAAAATATTGAAGCAAGTTCTGTTTATCTCGCATTAGAGGGGCCTAGAAAATTTATTGCAGTCTAAATGGCTTGATCAGTTTGAAAAAGCAACCCCGGATTTGAATGACAACTACGGTATAACCTATGATTACGGCAGTATAATGCACTACGGAGCGTCAAGGTCAGAGATGTTTGCGATTTCAACATAAATGATGAATCATGTTCAGCGCAGCAAATAAAGGAACATACTCCATGGTACCACATGATACGGATTACACCCAAACACTTGGATCCCCCTTCATCTCTTTCTACGAAAAGCTCATGATGAACATACATTACAGATGTCTTGGTTTGCTCATTGACAAAGACTGTGCACGTTATTGACATTTTCTTACTCAGAAAAGTGCGGTAAGAATGCCAATGCAGCAAAATGTGCAATGGGCGGCTTTCCAAATCCGCGCGACTGCCGCATATGTGTTTGTCCAAGCGGCTATGGAGGCAAACTCTGTGATAAGAGGGTATTGGTGTCTATGTTTACGCGCTCCAATCTAACCATTCTTGCAGCCATCGGGGTGCGGAAAAGTCTTGAAAGCTAAAGAATCATCCCAAAAACTCGTGGACGTCTTGGGAGATGATTCAGAGAGAAAAAGAGTGAGAGAAGATTTCATGTTTTGCCACTACTGGATTCAGGTCTGAATTTGCAATGAATTAAGGGTTTATATTCAATTCCTTTTGTTAAGGCGCCAAGAGGAAAGAAAGTGGAGGTCAAGGTGATGAGCTTCACTGGCGGTATAGCAAGTGACGGATGTCCTTATGGGGGAGTTGAGATAAAGGCTCACAAGGACCAGCGTCTCACTGGATACAGGTACAACGGTAAAAGCTGAAACGGTGTCACAAGTTGAAGGCTCCTAATTGCGCTTGTCGTCCTTGTTTTTAGATTCTGTGCTCCTGAGAATGCTGGAAAAACATTAATATCACACTCAAACGTTCTGCCTGTGATCACTTACAACAGAGTCAACAAAACCATTACAACTTTGGAATATCATTCCAGTAAGTTGTC